GATCTTCTTGCAGCTGCTGTTTTTCAATAGCCTTTAATTAATAATAGTCAATGGGCCAGGGTGGTGGGCAGGTGCGATGGCTCACATCTGTAGTCCTGCCAAGGTGGGTGGATCACTTGAGCCCAGGAGTTCAAGACCAGCCCAGGAAACATGGCAAAATGCTGTCTGAAAAACAAAAACCAAAATAAAACAAAAACAAAAAACCACACACACACACAGAAAATCATGTCGTGTGAAGGAACCCAAGCAGAATGCATACCATTTGATTCCTCATCATATTAAAATGCAACCAATGTATTGTGACAAAAAGTAGAAGAAGCATTGCTGGGGACATAGGAGCAAAGCGGAAGAGAGGATTACATTGAAATATGAAGAAACACTGCAGGACGGTAGACATGTCATTATCTTATAATGGCAGTAGTTCCACAGTGTATACATACACCTCAATCTACCAAACTACATGCTTCAAAAATGTACACGTTGTTTCATATCCATTATACCTCAATAAATGTATTTTTAAAAAACCTTCAATAGAATATGAACACTTGAGTGTATACTGTATTCCCTATAGCACTTGCACATAGATCATGGAAATATGTTGCATAAAAAGTCAGTACCCAATTAAAATGGAATTCTAAAAGGTAATTAACATTAAAATGTGCAGGGGAAAAAGGAGTAAAAATATTAGACTAGAGAATCTTAGTTTAAATGGTAAACTTATAGGTCTATTTCGATATCAATTATTGCACTAACTGTAAATCCACTGGGTACTACAGTTCAAAGGTAGAAAGGGTTTGAAGGGCTGAAAAAAATAAGACTTAGCTATAACTTGTCTATACGAGATGGGACGTAAAAGGAAGACACAGATGCTGTCTGGTGAAAGCAAATAGATGGAAAAAGATACACCATGCAGAGTATAAGGCCAAGAAAACTGCCGTGGCCATCTCAGTATCCGATGAAGTTGATTTTGTTAGCGGTGGACGAGATCCAAGTTACCCTACGCTGAAGGCAGCGAATCCATACCAGTCCACAGCAACTTAACTCTTCACCTCCTGAGAAGAAAGAATGGGACTGAGGGACATAAGGCAGAAGGAGAGACGGAGGCAAGTTTCAGAGCAGGAGTGGAAATTCATTAAAAAGCTTTAGAACAGGAAGGAAAAGAAGAAATGGATAAAGAAAAGAAGGAAAGTACAACTTGGAAGATGGCCGAGCAGGTGACTTGAGCAACTAAGCGCATAGCCGGCCCGCCTGAGTCGGGGTTTTATAGGTTGGCATGCTTACAGAATCTTGCCTTACTTCTCCCCATTCCTGAAATCTCATTGGGAAGCTGCTGATCAGTTTCAGGTGTTTTCTATGTATTAGGAGATTGCCTTTTACTGGCATCGGCTTTAACCAGTTATTACTTTAGAGATACAGTTATCAACCACCTGATGGTCGCCCAACACTGCTGGTGTGAGAAGCGGGGAGCCCTCTCCTGCCCTGCTCATACCTGACTAGCTACCTACTGTAACAATTTTAGGACACAGAATATTATGGGAGATCAAAAGGGACCTTTGTAGTTAAAAAGGTTAATTCTTCAAGGAGTGTAATAATAATCACAAATTATATATGCCTAGTAATACAGCTTCAAAACACATGATGCAAAAACAGAATTAAAAAGAGATTAAATCAGCTGTTTCTCTGCACTTGGTAGCACGATCAGATGAAAACGCCAGTAAAGTGGCAGGCGACCTGCACGCTGTGAACCACCTTGATTTAACTGACATTTAAAGAGCAGGAGTGGAACATGCACTGAACACTCATTCCTTTCTATGCTCATGATACTTTCACCAAGATAGATGGGTTCTGGGCTATAAAACACACAATATGATCTCCACACTTAAGGAAATGAAACTGGAAATCAGTAACAGTATCCATAGAGAATTCTAAAATTTGGTTATTGAACAGCACGTTTCTAAAAAAATATGTGGTTCAGAGAAGAATTCAAAAGGTAAAATATTTCAAAATAAATAATAATAACAATATAACATCAAAACTGATTGGAAATCGCTAACAGTGCTCGGGGTGAAATAATACAGCTTTCAATGTTTCTGTTAAAGAATTGGGGGTTGGGGAGATGGGGAGTTACTACCGAAGGGTATGCAGTTCCTTTGTGGAGTGATAAAAATATTCTAAGATTGATTATAGCGATGATTGCATAGCTATGAGTATATTAAAAACTACTGAAATGTAGACATTAAATGGGTGAATTATATGAATCATCATAATTACTAATTATATGAATTTGTGTCTCATTAAAGCTGTCAAAAAAAGAAAAAAATGTGAAATGTGTGGCCTGAAGATCTACATTAATCAATCATACAATATAAGCATAAATTTAAACCAAACAAAGTAACAAGGAGGAACATAAATCAAGGAAATAGAATACAGACCACGAAAAGAACTGACAAAACGGACCGTGTGTGGTGGCTTGCGCCTGTAATCCCAGTACTTTGGGAGGCCCAGGCAGGCAGAACGCTTGAGCTCAGGAGTTGGACCTGCCTGGGCAACGTGATGAAACCCCAGCTGTACAAAATACACAAATATTCGCCAGGCATTGGGGCACACTCCTGTCTGTGGTCCCTGTCACCTGGGGACTGAGGTCGAAGGACCACTTGAGCCCGGGAGGCAGAGGCTGTAGTGAGCAGAGATTACGCCACTGCACTCCAACCTGGATGACAGAGGGAGACCCTGTCTCCAAAAAAA